AACTGATCTAAACAAATACATGTTTAGCTTTGTTTGAACCTGTAGTAAAGTTAAACTGGTCTAAACAAATACATGTACAGCTTTGTTTGAACCTGTAGTAAAGTTAAACTATTCTAAACAAATTTATGTTTAGCTTTGTTTGAACCTGTGGTAAAGTTAAACTGATCTAAACAAATACATGTACAGCTTTGTTTGAACCTGTAGTAAAGTTAAACTGGTCTAAACAAATATATGTACAGCTTTGTTTGAACCTGTAGGGAAGTTAAACTGGTCTAAACAAATATATGTACAGCTTTGTTTGAACCTGTAGTAAAGTTAAACTATTCTAAACAAATATATGTGTAGCTTTGTTTGAACCTGTAGTGAAGTTAAACTGATCTAAGCTTTGTTTGAACTGGTAGTAAACTTAAACTGATCTAAAGAAATACATGTACAGCTTTGTTTGAACCTGTAGTAAAGTTAAACTGATCTAAACAAATACATGTACAGCTTTGTTTGAACCTGTAGTAAAGTTAAACTGATCTAAACAAATATATGTGTAGCTTTGTTTGAATCTGTTGGGAAATTTAAATTTCACAGCTACACAAAATTACGGATATATAATTGTGTCGAAGTTATAACAAAAAAATATTATGTTGTCAATGATTCTAGAAACAGATGTTATTCAGATGACTCCATAAAGTCACCTTTACCATACTGACATATCATAAAGGACTTTTTATAGCTTTTTATCTAAATTAGTGTAAAAAAAATTAACCCCTCTCCTGCCAGCAAAATGATAAAATGAGGTAAAGCAAAACTGGTGTGAAATAAAGGCACAGTGTGTGCACGGCTGAGTTTGTTTTTATATAACATTTAATATCCCACTTAATATTGAGCTTTTGAATGGTACTGTTTTATATAAATCAATGTGTCGATTTATGAAAAATTTTATCGATATATTTGACAACAAAATAAATTATTAAATTTGTACATGATTCAAAATGGTAAACAAAAATAAAATCTTACCATAGTAGGCGTATATATCCACAAGGCAGGATTAAATAAAATGTGATCTAACAACTGTTTGAGCAAGAGTTCTGTAGTGCTGTTGTTCACAGTTACCAGATATTTTGTCAGGGACAACAAGGAATTCAACACATCTTCTGTTATGTGATTTCGAGAGGCCTTAGGTAATGTTCATTCACATAAAATATAAAAAAATATATAATTTTACATTAATCTTATATACCAGTGTTTTAAAACATCCACAAAAGGTAAAATGTGTTAAAAATCTGTACATATCTACTATGTAAGATCAACATGAACCATTAATTATTCAATCTTCTATATGGTCATAAAACGTAATTGGGTCCTTGAACAAGTTAACATGGTTGAGTGTTAAGTATACATGCTGATATTCTTTGGGTAAAGATTAGATTAACTCTTACAAATGAATAAAATATCATGTTATTTAACATTTCTTTTAATTTCCTAGCTAGCCTACACCTAAACAATCCAAAGTTGTATTCTTTTTATTTCATCTTACAATGGCCACAAGTGATTGAATTATGACCTTTCTGACAATGGTTTTACTTCTGATTCAATTATGACCTTTTCCTTAACCTGATAACAACAATGTACTTCAGACTTAAAATAATAAAACCAGTGGATAAAGTTGTTTAAAACTTCAAAAGAACTTTTATAAAAGCATGCAGTTTCAGAAAAATATTTAATTTTGATTTTTTTCTACTAATTCTACCAAACATTCATTATTTAATGTAGATATTTACACTTAGTCTCTACATAGTTCACATGTAAGGTGGTTTTCATGTTGAGTATAAAAATACTATTCATTATTTAATGTAGTTATTTACACTTGGTCTCTACATAGTTCACCTATAAGGTGGTTTTCATGTCGAGTATAAAAATACTATTCATTATTTAATGTAGTTATTTACACTTGGTCTCTACATAGTTCATCTGTAAGGTGGTTTTCATGTTGAGTATAAAAATACTATTCATTATTTAATGTAGATATTTACACTTGGTCTCTACATAGTTCATCTGTAAGGTGGTTTTCATGTTGAGTATAAAAATACTATTCATTATTTAATGTAGAT